TGATTGACGGTAATAGCCTAAGAATAATGGCTGAGTAGCAGCGACCCGATGACGATGGTCAGACGACAATAGTCCAACAATGGTGATCGAGCGACAACAGCCTGACAATGACGATGACAGCTTGAGGATGATGGTTGAGCGACAGCGATCCAGCAACAATTATTAGATGGCGACAAACCAACAATGATGATCAGACGACAACAGTTTGTGTTGGTGGTCCGACAATAATTGTCGGGAAGTGGCGATCCAACAAAGAGTCATAAGGCGGAGGCTAGGTGGTGCCAATTTGAAGGTTGGTATGACTACAATGGTCAAACATAGGAGGTCTGATGATATTGGTATGAAGTCGGTGATTAGAATATGAGGTTTAGGCAGTGGTAGTCTAGCAAAAATGGTACAACAACAATAATCGAGTGGAGCCAGCCTGATGGTGGTGGCATTGCTATGGTGACCTTATGGAGGTGATTAGGTAAAGGCAACTTGATGACAATGGTTAAGAAGCTATGGGATGATGACAATAGTTGGGCAAATATGGTATAATGGCAGAGCTTAGGCAACGACTATCCAATAATAATAGTTGGGTGGGAGCAATCTAATGGTAATGGTCAGGTGACAATTGTCCAATGATAGTGGTGGTTCAATAGTAGTGGTCGGGGATGACGATCTAATGAATGACATTATATATAAATATAATCAAAATCAAAACACTCCATCATACAACTCGGAGTGATTCCCTTGATTATAAATTATTTTTTGAAATTTTTGAGCGTCAAGATGCTCGGTTTGAATATATACATACAAGATTTGAAGATCATTTGATCGACCAAGTAATGTCCCAAAGTTTCTGTAACGCCTCAAAATCTAAATTGAAAGAATTGCATATTTTTTATCTTCCCAAAGTTTCATAAACAGCCATAAGTCATAGATATTATTGTCATTCCTTTACTAAGTGGACCAATCTTATCATATGAGACAAGTATCATGTATTCACATCAATATCATATCAATTTGACTTCATATCAATCATATTTCTTATATCATTCAATCAATTAATCATTATCAATAGTCAATTAATTTCATCGTATATCATATATCATGATTATGGGCCAACCAACAAGAATAGTCTCATCAATCAATCAATCAATATCATTAGTCAATCAATCGTCGTATATCATATACCATGTGTCATTAATTTTATCATTCATCAATCATATCAATCATCCGTCTTAACTGTTATCGATCATCAGTCTCTCACCATTCACATATCAGTTATCAATCTTCTCAATCATATCAGTATCAAACACATCTGTCTCATCAAGCACATCAATTCATTCATTTTGCATGTTCTTGCAAGTATCACATCATTCATATCATGTATATTATAATAACAATTATCATGTATATATCATATGCAATTATCATAACATATAGATCTATACATTGCACTCCTCAATATGCATATATTATGCTAAAATGTATACTATGCCAAATGAACAATAATCATATGCATATCGTGTATCTTATATTCAAATTTAGACTATTTAGTACATTAACTCTTGATCGTTTTACACTCAGCCTTACTCTCCAATTTTAAATAAAATATCATATATACCAAACTATCAGGTGAAAGTTTAATATAAATCAGTCAAAACATTCAGAATAATAATATCTAACAAATATAAAAAATTACATGGTGAAAACTAACTAGAATAGAAGATATTGCATTTTTACCAAATTCAAGAAGGAAAAATATATTAAACTCAAAATCATTAAAAAAAACAAGTATAGAGTATAAGTCACATACTACAATCATAATAATTTTCGTTACATAAATGATGAATGAAAAAGCCCCGAAATACCCTGATATGAAACATAATAGGAATTGCATGAATTTTAAGAAATATGTTAAGCTTGCTAATTTTAAAATTAATACTTCATAAGATTATATTATAGGATTTCTTATTTGTCGATGTGCTTTGGCATGCAATTACAAACTAGATTAGAAGGGCGATTTATAATAACACCAAAATGATAGTAAAGCTAGATGCATAAATAAACGAAATCCACATGTTAACAAATAGAAAGTTCTCCTTGAGTTTCCCTCACTTTCACAATTTCACTCTTGAGGTTGTCTTAACGGGAGAATAATTTCAGCAAACTTAAAGATGCCACAAAAAGACACAAGACGCCTATAGTATAGCCCAATGAAAACCTTGCCGGAGGGGAAGGAATCGGTGGATGTTAAATAACTCGCCACTGTCGGGAGCTTTGGTGCTCGTCGATGGCAATCATCAAAGTGAAAAGAATCCGGTCAACGTAGTCGTCGACGGTGTGGTCGATCTCCAAGTTGATGTTGAAGAAGGGAGACCGAAGAATATCTACTCGTCCTTGAAGATCATATATGAATCCATGATCGTGCTAGGGATCGGCCATTCATGGATAGAGAGGCCAAGGGGATTGGTTGTCTTCTTCCTTGAAGATGTAAGAAGAATGAGAGGGGAGGCGTAAGGGAGAAGGAGGATCCTTGGTGTGGTCGGCCAAAGCAAGAAAGGGGCTAGGTTAATTTTAAATTTCTGAAATTAAAAGTGGGTGATTGATTAGAGAGATTAATTATAGAAAACACAAAGGGAAACGGGGAGAGAGACGGCTAATTATCTCTTTAATTGGAGTTCTTAATGGGGAAGGAAATAATTAGGAAAGAGGGAGAGAGGGGGGGCGACCAAAGGAGGAGAGGGGGAAGTGTCCACATAGATTATATGTGGCCCCAAGAATTAAATGTTGATTGGGGAATTAAATCTGAATTTTAATTTCAGATTTGGAGTAATTGGGGAGATTTCCTAAAATAGGTTTGTGTTAATTTGGAAAATATTTGAAATTCAAATTCATTTGAATTTGAATAATTTGAATTAAAGGATCTACCAAATTAGAAAGCTCTAAATTAGGAAAAAAATATTAATGTGGAGTTTGGAAAATATAATCATGGGGAGTGGGGTTAGCATGGCCAGCGGCTAGGGTTAACTAGGGAGAGGCAGGCAGCTAGGGGGGTTGGTTTGGGTGATTTGGGTGGAGGAGAGGACGGTGGGGAATTTGGGGAAGGTGGGCCGGCGGTTGGGGGTGGGGAAGGGCTTAGCCGAAGGGTTTGGATGGATGGAGGGAGGGAGTTTTGGCCGGAATTTGGAAGGGGGGATGTGGGTTGCCAACGGTATAGGGAGGAGGTAGGGGAAATAAGAAATATAACAGATACGAACCGCGAGCCCGACCTCTACAAGAGACTAACGGGTATTGGTTGGCCCTCTCCTAGGGTTCTCTCTTCTCTGAAGAGCTCACAACACTCAAGGGAACTAGAAGGTTGAAAATTTTAATTAATCAATCATTATTTCAAGCAATAGTGAGGGCCCTCATATATAGGCTTCAAAATAAAAGAAAACACAAAGACTCAAATGCCCTCGAGGCTACAACATAAAGTAATCCCTCTCGGGGTACAATGGTAAACCAGAACATAAATAAAAATAAAATACATAAATGCATCATATATAAAGACTTTGAATTGTAATCATCGTTCTACGATTCCTCCGATGATAGACGTGCCGAAATCTACTGCTCATCATACCCTCTCTCTCTCTCTCATCTCCTCTCTCCCCTCTCCTGTTCTTCTCCTTTTTTCCTTCCCCAACAAAGCAATGAAATGAGGGGGATATGGCTTATATGGCAAGGGATAATTCTATTAAAAATATCATTCAGTGTCCAACGTCGTGTCAACACAAATTATAGCGTCGTTGCATTATATGCATAATTCATAGTTACTATAGAACAGAGAATATGGTGTCACTGCGCTCCCTATGACATCGTCGCTACGCTATATCCCAGATTTTCATGTTTTCAAATAATTCATTTTTTAAAATTTTGGGTTATTATAATTTTCGATCATACGTCAAATGCTTGATTCTGACTCATTTGGAATAGAAGGTATTTACTTTAGGTGTTCAATGAGTTCATCCCATTGAAGCATTCAATGTAACTACAAGTTTGTTGAAATTGGACTTCATGTGACTTTGAATTTAATTTTGAAAGTTTTCAATTTGAATGTTGGCTTAAGATTCTCATTTAATCCGATGAATTTTTCAATGACCTGTCATTTAGCATTTTGTAACAAATTTTATTTGATATTTTTGAAAATTAAATCAAGTTATTTTAAAAAAATGTGTAAAACAATTTTTACACTTTTCCTCATGTTCAAAACATGAACTCTAACTCATTCAACCTTGCACACCACGTCAGTTAGCCTCGCACCCTCCGCCAACAAACCTCATGCCGACCATCATCATCTCGTAAACTACTGCCACTTCACCGTGTTTCCGTAGGTGTTTTTGCCGCCTTGCCCCATTACCACAATCTCATCTATCATCACCACCGCCCTCTTCCCCCTGCCGCTACTTTCACCACACCACCGCCGCTCCACCATCGTCACCGTCATGGTCGCATAAATTGATTAATGCAATATCCAATTAAAATAAAAAATAATTTAAGATACCAAAAATATTTTTATTTCATATAAAACAAAACAAAACAAAATAGAAACTGTTCCCAAACCGCCCTTAGCAAACACATTTATCTAAAATAGAATAACACCATACGCAGAAGAACCATGGTCGTCAACCTCGAGACACTCACGGCCCACATAGCCGCTGTCCGGGGAGGAAAAAGGAGCACTAATTAGAATAAATGCAAGAGGATTCATAGAAACCCCAAATTACGTGGGAAAGCACTAATAATGAAGATATTTACATCTAAGTTTAGGGTTTAGGATACTATAAAGAAGAACAGCCATCGAGCAATGCAGAACTTCTATCGATTACATAATTCAAAGCTATCATTTTTTATCAAAATGCAATCTTTACTCAAATTTGAAAAAAAAAATACACAACTGACAGCATTTGGTCTGAAATATGATGAGCAAAGTTGAGAAGACGAGGAATCTCAAGAAAGAAAACCTAACTTACAGTAATAATCCGAACATATATGAATCCCGGAAGCAGAACCTTGATTCTTCTTGCGGGAAGAGAAGGCAGAGTTAGGGTTGGAAAATGAAATGGAGAGCTGCTTTGAGGAGAAGGAAAAATATACGTGGCGAGAAATTCGAGCTCCAAGCCTGCTTCTTCGCCATCTTTCGGAGTGCTGTGCTGCTTTGCCATTGGCTTGGACAAATGGGAAGAAAACTTGGAGAAACGGCCGGAGGCATAATATGCAGTTCAAAATATTGCGCCTTTTATAAAAGGGCAGGCTTAGAATGCTATACTACCTCATAGTCCTACAAATAAAAAAAAAAAGTAAAATTATTATTGGATTTTTTTTTGAGATTTTGTATTTACTTTTAACTTCTATAACATTTATTTTTTGAATAAAATGTATCATCAAAATTAACATAGACAAAGTGAAAAAATCTCGTAGTTACCATGTACTACGATTTGCTACATTTTTTATATTTTTTTATAGATTAATATGTGATGACGTGAATATTATTTGGTTCATGATCATGCTGTTGGTTGGCTTCAATATAACGTGCTTTATTAATAGGTGACATTAATGATACAGTTGCTTCATGCAAGCCATAAATCCCAATCGCATATGTACAAAAAAAAAATTTTTTGAATAAGGGCACATGCCCCCGCTGTCTCCCCTTGAATCCGCCGTTGTTCTCTAAAATCAAGCAGCTTATATCTATAAAATCAATGCATTTTTATGCTTTTTAAAACAATATAAAGGTGTGGATTCTTTACACTTGTATTGATAATTATGTTTGTTATTTTGTGTGTTGGCATTTTGTCGATAGAGAGATTATTTGATCATTTTAACAATTTAATATAGCCGCATATAATCAAAGAAGTAAAGCGAGTAGAAAATAATAATTTTTTAATATAAAATTTTAGAAAGAGAATGATCATGAAATATTGCTTAATTAAATAAAGTTCCACTAATAATAGGTATGAGTTACAATGAATCAACCTTTTTTGTAAACTCTAAAAAAGCTTCAATATAATGTAAGTGAAGCTAAGAAGTTAGTAGTATTCATGGTGGTTGTATAGTAATGAGATGGGATGCTATGACACTTCTCCCATGAGAGCTAGATAATATGATATATGGCATAAGAATGGAGCAATATTGAAAGGTCAAGGAAAAGATGCCAGGGACAATCTTCTTGCAAGTTAATGATGGATATAACATAACTTAAAGGAAATAAGTGAGACAATATAAGAAGGTCATCATGGCCAATAAGGATGGTCGTATTAGTCATCCATTTTGAAGAGATTATTAGGTGCGGAGTGCAGACGGGGAGAACCGTCCGCACAAGCATTGGGTACCTAGCGGTACCCGCACTCGGTACCGCTGGGTACTGCGCTAGATACATAGTGCTTGTGCGGACGGTGAACACTCCGCACCTAATATTTTTTCTCCATTTTGAGGTTGATATGGCACACTTGAAGGCTATTATGAGACAACATAAGAAGAATATTATTGGTATAGCATAAATAGTTATTTGTTATATTTACTATGTAGCCATGTATATAGCTTCATATGTATTTTCGGTTTCTATATATATTCCCTAATACTGTACAAGCACAGAGATCAATAAAATAAGTTTTCTTCTCTTTCCTCTGTCTCTTCTTCCTCTTCGCAAAGCTCAAGAACTGAGCTCAAGATTTATTACAAATATGGAGACCTGAAGCTGATTGAATTTACCCTTCATTAAAAATAGTGGCTAAATGATTTGAAGGATAATGATAAAGGGAGTCCAATTATATGTCATAGAAGATTGAAAAATTCATAATATTTGACTTGAAGCTAAAGGTAGATAGGATAGTGCCTCTCTTGAAAGAATAGGGGGACTAAACAACTTAAAATCAGTAGATGATAGAGGTGGCTAGAAATATTATTTATCATGAAAGGAGGGGTGTGACTATTATAAAAATTAATAGATGATATGAGAGAATTAGAAATTGTCCTCTTGGGAGGGAATTAAATAACTAGAGTTCACGATATGATAGAAAAAGAATATAGGAACATCATGATGGAAGAATCTGGGAACACCATGAAAAAAAATTTTAAAACACTGGGAAAAAATTTTTGGAACTTCAGGAAAGAAATTCCAAGAAATTAAAGGTGAGGATTTCAAAAAAACTAAGGTCTATAATATGTGAACACTAATGTGGAGAATCATGATACATATAAAATACCAAGTTAGATGAATGAAGGAAATTAGAAACAATCTTCCTATAAGGAGAGATGGACGGGATGATTAAAGTTGGTAGACAACTAAAGGATTTAGAAACACTAGAATAATGAAGGTTTCAAGCAGTAGCAAGATAAAAATTTATTTATAAATTTTGAGATCGAATTTTAATCTCTTTTTGATAATATGTCAAAATATTTCATATTCTTATTAACATATTCACTACATTACACCATCTCTTAATCTAGAATATATTAGATAATGCTACCTTCATGTCATCATGATTGAACTAATTTAGTTATAGTCAAGTCAAGAGACTGATTAATGACAAGTAGTAGTGGTCCAATGGTATCCAATGCTGATGAAGTCAATGATTAGTGAACATGATATACTATTTCAAATCTCTTAATGTCATAAACCCATGGAAAATAATGGATTAAATTTTTGATGATATATTTGATAAGAACAATTTCAAGAAAGTGTAAGGATCAAAATTAGGGTTAGCCATGACAATAGGCCATGAGCAAGATATCAAAATATTCATCTCGCCAAGAACAATTGAATATTTCAAAGGGATCATGAATTAGAATATTGTAGAAGTTATAATAATTTTAGGGACATTTAAGGATCAAATATAAGGTTGCTAGAAAAAAATGGTAAATCAGAATTTTTTTTATATCAAAATATTTGTCTACGTGAGAACAATCTAATATTATTAATAGCTTATAAATATGATTCATGTAAATAAGATCATGAAATTTATAAAACATTTTTCTTAAAATAAATAAACTACTATAAATTGAGGGTGTTAGGTGTAATAGTCCAAACTTTTAATTATCAAGACATTGTCTGCTTTTACTTAATGGCCTCACAATTTTGTCTCATTGGTGTATCTTCCTAGAAGATCACCCATCCTAGGATTGTTCCCGCAAGAGCACACTTAACTTTCAGTTTCTTAATAAAATTCTAACAATTACACCAAAATGCGTCTCAATATTTAAGAGTTTAGTTTCTTTTTTACTTAAGGGTTTTCACAACCATTCACTTAAGTAACTAACGTCCTTGACAGTATCATTATCCCAGATTCATCTAGTACGTATATGGGTTCCTAAAGATAGCCCCTAAAAGTTCAAGTGGTTGCTCCCGCCATGTAGCTTTTTATCCTCTATTTAGTTTATGAGGTGACCCCATGGCTAGCACTTTATCATGTTTTACACTTAACTCCCATGTTATGGTTGGTGTATTATTCTGATATCATTTTTTAATAACTCAAACTCTTAACTATTGAGGTATTATCTGCTTTGGTCTAATGGCCTCATAGTTTTGTCCCATTGGTGTGACTTCCCATAAGATCACTCATCCTAAGATTTCTCTCACATAAGCACACTTAACTTTAGAGTTTCTTGATAAAATTATAATAATTATATCAAAAGGCACCTTAATGTTTAAATGTTTAGCTTTTTTTAATTTAAGGGCTTTCACACTATGGCAAGTTAGTTAACCCTTGCAGACTAAACATGTGGCAACACCATGCTTGTGACATGCCATTATATGTGAGCAGAAAAGAGAGGGGTGTGGTTCAATTTGTTCTACATTTTGAACCATTTGATTAAGTAATTGAATTATCGTGCTCAAGTTCAGATGATTTTGCTATTAATGGAGTCATTGCAATGATATGATTATTTTGACTATAAATTTAAAATTTTAGAGAAAATCTCACCCTTTAACAAATTTTTGAAACTTCTATTTGAATTCATTGATCCTCCTGAAAAATATATTAGATTCATTATTCTTTTGGGAAAATAATTAGATTGTTTCTCACTTGTCAAAGTGCATTACACAAAACGATATTGTATAGTTACCATCACAACTATAGAAGACATATATATATGTGTGTGTGTGTGTGTGTGTGTGTGTGTGTGCTTTGTCATTTTTAGTGATTGATTGTAGGTAACAAAAACAACATG